ACTAAGTGTACATCCACGCTTGTCAGTCTGTTGTTGTTATACAATATCAAAGTACACGTCGACAGCTGCAAGTGACGTTGAGGACACAGTTCATGGTGGCGTATTGCATGTCCAGGCCCCGCTCTACAAAGCCGTATCAATGCCAAGTGAAGTAGTTACGACCTGCCTAGTGAGCCGTACTGTGTAACGGGCCCAGGACTGGACCCATAATGTCGAGACAGACGGAGGAGGAGCATCACATTTGTCTTTCTCACAGGATGTGAGCGCTGTCCATGCTGAACCGGTAGCAACTACAATTTTCTCACTGAACCGTGAAAAAATGTAATTTCACCTGAACACATGAAGCGTGTTTAGGCAAGTGTTTAGTCCTTTAAATAATATTTTGAACTACATCTGACATATAACATACACCATGGATCGTCCGGACGAGATTAATGAAGGTATTTATATATAACACTCAATAATCAGTTTCTTATGTTTAATTTACTTTTCATATCATTTGGTGCGATAGCGACGAGTCGAAATTAAGGTGTTTTCAGCGTGAATACGACATTATTAATTCATACTCGCGTACTATGAAGTGCTAATTATAGCTGTATTAGGATATTATTTCATTTATATCAATGAAAAACTCTGTGATAAGTATATCCTGAGATAGTTAACCAAAACGATTGTGTTATGTCTTGTTTCTGTCTTTCAAATTGCCGAAAAGCAAAAAACCGAGGTCATTAGCCTTCTAGGAATGATTAGTGCCATTGTACATTGCTATTACTGATAGCAGTGAATGCCTTTAGATTTGTACGTCTTCAGACGTGATTCCCATATTAAACCATGTTTCCTTTTGGCGTAAGGAACTGGCGTAAATTAACACACATGACTAATTATTTGCCTCCATGTTCTGAAAAAAACGAACAACCCCACATTGGTGTTGAAGACGCATAAAAGAACCAGGTATGTGTGACCTATGAAATACCACATACCAGGGAAAAGCCAGTATGTTAACTGAGGAAGAAATCTGCCCAAACCATGCATCGGTACTACCAGTTTCTACTACTACTACTACTACTACTACTACTACTACTACTGGATTCCAAAGTTCCACAAACATTCGTACAAAGAGAGGTGGAGTCACGTTTGAGGTATAATCGAGCTTGCTCTTCCTGCAAAGAATGGATGGAGCGTCTCACGACTCTTGCTCAAACGTTTTTTCATCAAGTTTAAGACATGCGGAGGGCATTTCATAATTTGACGCATCACTAACAAAAATTATGTCTGATGCAATTCCCCATTTTTACTTGTACCATGTTCCCGTGTTTGTTTTCATGTTTGCCTTTGCATGTGTTTGTGACGGGTGTCAACGTTGGGGCAGGATACGCTCACCTTTCCGCGAACACCTGGTATCATCACTTTATGATAGTGATTCGAAATACATGCGTAAAATATTGTCGGCATTGCACAATGGATCCTGCTTTTATAAGAGATTTGATGGTGATGGACATGGGTATTCAACAAGAGAGTTAAAACCTTATTTCGCAACGCCACGTGAGTAAGTTTGCAGCTATTTGCGTCCAAAACAAGGTAGTTGAAATAACGTTCTAAAATGTCTTCAACAAGAAAAGTTTTAATCAATATCACTGCTGTGTAATCTGTTCAAATAAGTATGACATTCTTATACCAACTACCCAGACAATATTATTCCAACAACCTTGAGAGTACATTTGTTCATACAGCTGACTACCAGCAACTCTTACAGATTTTGGTTTGCTAAATATCTCGATATATATTCATCACACAAAGGTTACACATTGATACAAAAGCTAAAATAGCCTTATAAAGCTAAAAGTGACACGAAAGTAGGCTGGTATGAATTAATAATGCTTTCACGCGGCCAAGCACTTATTTTTCGATTCGTCGCTCTCGTGCCAAATGACATTATTTTTTTATTGAGTGTTGTATATAACGATTGTGGTCGTCCGCCCCTTGGTGCTTGATACATGCTAGATTTAGTTTAACAGTTTAATTGAAAGGGCGAAAAACTTGTCAAAATCATACTTCATGTGCTCGAGTGAAATCAGATTATTTACTGTCAAGCGAGGAAATGGTAGTAGCTACATATCGACTTCCGGTTTGGTACTATTGTGTATAGTCTATACCAGGTGTGTTACTAAATAAGTTTATACTCGTGTGTTACTCTACACAGTCTATACTCGTGTGTTACTCTACATGGTCTATACTCGCATGTTACTCTACATAGTCTATACTCGCGTGTTACTCTACATAGTATTTACCTGGGCCCCGTTCCACAAAGCGAACTTAGCGCAGAGGTAATCGTAACTCACATACTCTAACATAGGCTTCCGATCATCGTAGTGCTAAGATCGCTTTGTGAAACGGGGTCCAGGTGTGTTACTAAATAGTCTATACTCTTGTGTTACTCTACACAGTCTATACTCGTGTGTTACTCTACGTGGTCTATACTCGCGTGCTACTCTACATAGTCTATACTTGCGTGTGTTACACTACATTGTCTATAAACGCATGTTACACGACAGTCTATACTCGTGTGTTACTCTACATGGTCTATACTCGCGTGTTACTCTACATAGTCTATACCAGGTGTGTTACTAAATAGTCTATACTCGTGTTTTACTCTACAAGTCTATACTCGTGTTTTACTCTACATAGTCTATATTCACGTGTTACTCAACATAGTCTTTACTTGCGTGTGTTACTCTACATGGTCTATACTCGCATGTTACTCTACATAGTCTATACTCGCGTGTTACTCTACATAGTATTTACCTGGGCCCCGTTCCACAAAGCGAACTTAGCGCAGAGGTAATCGTAACTCACATACTCTACATAGTCTATACCAGGTGGGTTACTAAATAGTCTATACTCGTGTGTTACTCTACAAGTCTATACTCGTGTTTTACTCTACATAGTCTATATTCACGTGTTACTCTACATAGTCTATACTCGCGTGTGTTGCTTTACATAGTTTATACTCGCATGTTACTCTACATAATCTTTACACCCGTGCGTTACTCCACATAGTCTTTACGCTCGTGTGTTACTCCTCACCCGTGAAGAATAGGCCTTCAGCAACCTACGCTTGTCGTAAAAGGCGACTAACGGGATCGGGTGGTCAGGCTCGCTGACTTGGTTGGTGTATGTCGTCGTATTCAAATTGCGTGGATCGATGTTCATGATATCAATCACTGGATTGTCTATGTGCGCCATGTAGCTGGGATATTGCCGAGTGCGGCGTTTAACAACAAACAAAGCGTATCTATGCCCTCGCGTGTTTGTCAACATGGCCTATATACTCGCGTGTTACTCCACATGGTCTATACCCTTCGCGTGTTACACTACATAGTCAATTCCCTTCGTGTGTTACACTACATAGTCAATTCCCTCGTGTGACTACAATTGTCAAACAGTCATATTCATGTCTTTACTTTCTTTATTAGTTGGTTAGTTATGGCACATTGATGGAAGACAAGGGGAGATGGGCCTGTATAGCACACCAAGGGCGATAGTCCTCCGTCGACAAACGCAAACTAGAATACGTGACACAGTGACTGCCAGGTTGCTGTCAATGCATCTCGACTGGGCACTTACTGACACAGATAAATAGCTATGTGTGTCATATTGTACATGTAGCTGTAACACAACGTATCACACGACTTGAATTGTTTCCGTGTTGTGTCTCTGCCTGTCATAGCCGACCGTTTGCCTGGTTATACATGTACTTGTCCGAAAAAATAATTAATACATCGGTCTTAATTAATTTTCAAAAATGTAAAATAATGACCTACAATTTACTTTTGGTGCACAATATTTTCAGGAACAATGTAACACTAACTGTATCAGCAGAGTTCAGTGTTTTTCCGAAAAATATTTTCCACAACTTTATCCGATAAGTACATGAGTACTTGTCATCTTGTTGAGTCATGTTGTAAATATACCTTTAAGAATTGTATTGCGCGTGTAGCAGAGCTGGTGGCCACCTAGGGTGAGTATAAGCTTGTTGTTGATAACGCTGCCATTAATATTTCCGTTATCGGAAGCTTTTTATTTCTTCTGATGAATATATTCATCATGTATAACAAAAAAAACCACAAATATACATAAAATGTTACTGTTCTAGTGCGGTTGGCTTTAAATGCAATATTGTAGACTTGATCATTCCTGTAAATATAAGTATTCCGTGAATAAGATATGTATGTGAAACACCAGCACAGTCCACGGTACGTAGGCCGAGTCCCATTGTATTAATAATATAGTAATGTGAATCATTTATTTGCGATGAATCATCGACACATATGGAACATATTTCTTGTTTCATATTTACTCATACCACATCGATATTCTTTTCAGTAATTTCCATTTATCTATGATAATTGATTATATCGAATGGCATAAGGATTTATCTGGATCTAGATACGGGACTGCCTTTGTTAGAGCGTCACAGGGAGATCGTATTGCTGTCTTAGTCATAATGAGAGAACGACGAGAAGCCAAACAAAGACTCGCGAAATGTACTGCCAGTGATAGTTTTGAGGTACTTTTGACAACTATCAACATCTGACCGTGGCTTTCATTTCATCCAGTTCTAATTACATATTTCAGATAAGCACGTGGGTCAGAAAATGTTATTGACAGATGTTAATTTCAAAATGATGTTGTTCCTCAAACAATGCACTAGGTTTATTGACCGGGTGCGTGTAATGAAGCTACGCTCGGGCATTGTTAGCTCTAAAGTGATCAACTCCATTTTAGGGCATTGGACTAAATTGATTCATTTATGAAAATTAAGTAACTTTAAAAGTTTCGGGATCTCTCTTGGCGTGGAGCGTGGAGTGGTTGTTTCCCATTCATCTTGCGGGACAATGACAGCGAATTGCGAATGCTGGTTTCTGATTGGTCAGAGGCGTGTCAATTTCATCTGACTCATCAATAACAGAGCCACGTGCTCGCGCTCGGCAGAACAGCTCAGAGAGAGTGTATTCGCGACGGGCGAAGTTCTGCGCTACTACAGGGGTCGTGAGCGAAAGCTGGGATTTGAGCTATGCGCCGGATTAGGGTACCCGCATTCTGTCAACGCAGATCCATTGACCAATCCAGCTCGGACTAAACTTACAAGAGGCGATTAATACTCTGTTTGAGTTGTCGACAACACTATGCACCTGTCTCGCTGAAACGAAAAGCATTGTCCCGACACCCCTTTCTCAGGAGTAGACTCGCCTGCCCGACAGTTCGAGCGATTATACATCGCCGCATGTGGTACAATCCCATTTGAGTTTTTCGCCGATGCGAGGAATACTGTTTTAGCGAGCGTGGAACTATACGGCAGTATCGCACCGTTAACGGACTGGGCCGACGGCTAGGAACACAGATTCAAAGGGAAAAAAGTGGAATATTTCATTTTATCAGTTTGACGAGATTTCGGTCTGTGTTGAGCTTGGATGTGCTCCAGCAGTGGCCGATATGTAACCGACGCTGTGTCATTCCATGGAGCACCAAGGAAGCGACGTTTTAACCAAAATGTTGGAACTAAGCTGGAAGAGATTCCTGGCTTATTGAGAAGGCAATAAGCTCTACAGGAGCAATCAATAGTCCTCGCGGTTCCTACCATCGGATTAACATAGTCGTAGTAATTGGAAGTTTTAATATACCAGTGCCATTTCTGTGAAAATGTTGGAAGAACTAAGGCTGTTGTTTCACCTCTTCTTCGTCGTGGTCGTCACAGGTAAGTACTGCATGTCTAATGGGGACTGTCATGGGTACATGTGTAACGAGCTGGTGGTTGGACACACTTTATCCTGGTGTGGTCAGGTACACAACGCTCGTGGCTCAACATGCATATATGTATATAGACACAGCAGTTGCTAACTTGTGCATACTTACTTGTCGTTGTTGGGGATATCAGATTGTTGTCCGCATTGTGTGATGCAGTCATTCTGTGTTGCGTGAAATAAACAGCCGCTTTCTCTGAATGTTAGCACATGTTATTTAGCAACGTAGGAATTTCATATCAACCAAGTGGCTGTGACTTACTTGTGGAAGTCCTGTCGGTAGAAAAAAACAGCTGTCAGTACGTAATTCTAGTTGTGACGACTAGAGACCAGATGATAGTACCTGACATTGGCAGCACCCATTGTGTAACACCCACACCCCACACACCCGTTTGTTTCGTGTGTACCCTCTGTGTATTGTTGTAGTCAAGTAGGATATGTTTCATCGGACATTAGGGGTGGAGTGGATATGCGAATACCATCTGACATAACGGGTGGATTGGGTGCGTTTTGTTACACAGTGCATGAGGAACAAAGGGTGGATTCGGCATGTGGCCAGTGGTTGAAGTGGGATGTCGGGTATGTCGGGTGGATTAGGTTTGAAGTCGAGCTCTGTGGAGAACGGGTAGATTGGTTCTGTAGTTAGAACTTTGAAGGTAGATGGGTTATGTGGGGTAGCACTGTGCAGGACAGGTGGAATGCGGGTGTGTAGACGTAACCAGGGATTAAGCAGACCGAGAACTGCCATGTTCTCTAGACACAGAGGATCGGTGGTTTTTTTCTCTCAAATTATCAGCGAGGTTATTTTTTAGCCTTCATAATAATCCTCAGTATTAGTATCTTCAACTGTGAGAACATTGACTGTTGTAACATACACGCATGCGGATGTGCTCAAAACCAGACATGCCTGTGTATTCGTTGTATTAAAAAAACAATTCGCCCACTTTAAACATTTACAGTTTTTCTTCAGTATTTTATGGGCGGCTCCGTCCATGCCCACTAGTTTTTACAAGGTGGATAACTTCAGAAATGATTTTAGAATGAAAATTACGAGACAAAAAAAAAGTATAATTTAATTGTTAATTTTATTTTTAACCGGGAGTATCTGTTTATCATTCGCTCTTATGTAAAAAGATATTGGTTCTTGTCTGTAGGTCGCTACTAATCGTAAGTTCCCCGCGAACGCCGTGTACGGATTGTGTACGGATTGTGTACGGTGTGTATACGTCGTGTGTACGGCGTGTTACATCACGCTGGGGTTTCGGCATTATATACTCCCCACACTATACAGTAAATCTCGTAAGATGCGTGGCAGCTTATTGTCTGAATCTGGGGATGACAAATAAATTGATTTGACCCAAACTCACGACGGGAGAGATTACAGGACCCAGTACCAAGGCAATAAGCATCACTTGTGTTAGAAGACATATTGGTGTGATGGTTTCTATATAATATACATGAGGGGGTTGTATTGAACAACCGACAGAGAATGGAGTCCCAAATAGAAGCACAATTGTATTATTTACCCATCAATTGTGAAGCAATGCCCCATGCTTCAGAAGTCAGGGCATGAAATATACATTTATACACAATGTAGATTTCGGTAATTGACAGACTTATTACCAATCGATAACAGATAAAAGGTTTTCTACGCAGAGAAATTGTGACATTTGACAGTCCGTTAGACATTTCTAGCCGTCCGCAATACAACCTTTAAAACGAAAGATAAAAAGACAAGGATTGTGTTTATAATGTTTAATCTCTTCCTGGGTTTACGATATGTGAAGGTTGTCTGCCAACCATCTTATAAATTGTTAAATTCTCGAGGTGTTGATATCCAGATTCGGCGATCAAATATTTTGAGTAATCACGGGAGTAAGTGTCTATCTCTGAGTACTTTCTAACAATAGGCGGCGACAGATGACCCCCACCTCCCCCTTGCCCCAGCCCCCCTGTCTGTTTCCAGTAATCATACCTACCTATCCCAACCTCGTAGATTGGTCCCAAACTTAACACTGAGGCCGGTGCTATATATTACGCTTTTCCCCCTTAATCAAAGTTTGGTCACCTATGGTGATTCTATTAGACTGTCGCCGCTGTTTAATCAGATGTCTCGAGTTGGCAGGGAGCGTCCACCGTGTAGGGCTGGTGAGAAGTGTTAACCCCCGGTCAAAAACTTACTTAGCCAGCAGTCGGAATCTAACCGTACCATGTCATAACAATTACACGACTCTTCGTTGGATTATTCGACATATATATCTAAATTTTATTAGCAAATAGAGTTTCATGTCTTCGACAGCTCGAAATAACATTGGTTGATTAATGTTTGTATTACAGCGTAGACCAGTTTGTACTCTGGGATGTGGTTATTTGATGTGAGGGTCGGGCGACGGACACACCCCCCCCCCCCCCATTCGGTTGCCTTACGATCAAATACTTACTTGAAGAAATGGCCCCTATGTGAATGACTAATTAACGCTGCTCATTACTGGTGAAAATGTCGCGGGATCATTAGACGTGTGATTGATGTACTGTTTACGACATTCATTTGGACTTTATCTTTGTTAAGCTTTATTAGTTGTATTTTCATATGCGTTATTAAAACGTGGATATATACGATCGATAGATCTTCCAACTTTCAACGAGGTTCTTAAAGAGCAAACTTATGGATTACGTGTAAGGTAATTGGTGTTTGGGGATGATTTAGCCAGCACAATCGCCTGTTTTAAATCAAATTGATTAGTTTTTAATTAAGTTGGGGTCTGCTCTGTATTGATTGTAGCTAGAATGTCACTCAGTTTAGGGAATCTATTTGTACGCAGTAAAGAGCAAATACTAGACTAACACGATCACCAAGGCACGGTTTACGATAGAAAACACATATATCACGCAATATTTGAATCAACGCGAAATTTATTTGCCATAAAAATATTTTGAATCAGCAGTAAATTTAGTAATCTTTTAACTCCCTGGTTTATAGTATTAATACTTTAAGAAAAATAAGGTTATGTTATTATTGTATGGTTTCAACCAAAGTTTTTTTTGACCCGTGTGAATTTTGACAGGGTGACTCGACTGCTATCTGTTCCGAACTGCATGTAGGACGGCGGGTTTTCTTATGCACGACAGCTGTGTGAAGTTAACCCGAGATATAGTTACTGTTCCGGAAAATGTATGTGATAGTTTAAGGACGCAAGGTTATTAGCAGCGTGTAGTGAACATTCCCGCGCCACCACGCATCGCGGTATCCATGCTGAGAGTGCACAAGATCTTGGGTGTTGGAAAATCACTGACAGCGTTAGATTAACCAACGTAGCAGAACAGAACGTCATATTTTGTTATTTTCCGATCACAATCTGTTTCATTTGAATGTCAATGCAACTTTACAGAGCATGACGTGAAACGACATAGTCATATTATTATATATTTTGTTAATAGTACAAGTGTTATTATTATAGATTTTGTTAATGGTACAAGTCATATTATTATATATTTTGTTAAGAGTACAAGTCATATTATTATATATTTTGTTAATAGAACAAGTCATATTGTTATATATTTTGTTAATAGTACAAGTCATATCATTATATAGTTTGTGAATAGTACAAGTCATATTATTATATATTTTGTTAATAGTACAAGTCATATTGTTATATATTTTGTTAATAGTACATATGACACTTACATAGAGGGCCTGTATGTTTTTTTCTATTATCAATAATTGAGCGGAATATACTAAATTCTCACAGATCACTTTCATTATTGAACAAGCCACTTTAATATATTTGACTTATTTTCTTTACAGAACTTCGGTAAAAATTATTTCCTGTCCTACATGTTCAGATTTAATATTCCCATTTCGAGAAGTGTCGAATTTCATATCTGTAAGAACTGTTCCCATATAGTCTACCCGCCACTACTAACTCATGCGAAGGGCGACTATATGCGACAATCTGCTGATAGTGCTATCCCCTGCCGTCGAGGAATTTAGCCGTCTCACCTGCCATGCAGTGAAAGTTTATTGCCACAATCGTAGCATATGTTTGACATGTTTTATGTGAATAAACTTTTTCGGCAAATTCAATTTCGTTAAAAAGGAATTCAAACAGCTAGGCTGTTTACACCTGATTAATTGTATCTACACTCTACTCATCAGAGGCCTGATTAATTGTATCTACTATCTACTCACCAGACGCCAGATTAATTGCATCTACTGTCTACTCACCAGGCCAACGGCTGAAGGATTTTGGGGAGAGAGAAAGAAAGAAAGAGACAAATATTTTATTCAGATGTCTAGCGTGTATATATTTAAAAAAGTAACATCATAAAAACATATCACATTGTTATACGACCCCCGGTCAGTTAGGGCCTATTAGGCACCAGTTACCGTTAAACGGTAAATAATAATAAAGCAGTAATAATGCTAAAATAATACAAATACCCTATGTTTATAGCTTTGGGTAATGACAGAGCAAGGGGAAACAACTATGATCTGTTGTTTTGTCAACGCCTTCAACGTTCTGTAGCTGAGTGGGGAAACTGACTTGTTCGTTTATTTGCCGGTCGTTGGACGCCGCACGCAGTAATATTCCAGCTATACGACGGCGGTCTGTAAATAATCGAGTCTGGACCAGACAATCCAGTGATTTACATCATGAGCATCGATCCACAATTCGGATACGATGACATGTATCAACCAAGTCATCGAGCCTGACCACCCGATCCTGTTAGTCGCCGAATCTTTACGGGTCGGATACCGGATAGTGTCATTCTTGCCGTCATGTATACATGATATTGTTCTTGACCACCAAGCCGGATGATTGTTTCTACAAGTAACCATGGTAACGGAGCAACTGTAGATTATGATCAACTGTAGAATATACATTCATACATATATATTTCAAATAAAACTGTTTTCTATAAAAATCCCTCGCCCCCCGGCTGGCTACGGCAC